GAGTGGTTTGCATTTGATCGTTCCCCTATATATATATATATATATATATATATATATATATATACACACACACACACGTATATCGGGCCGGGCCGGTGATCACCATCCCTGCCCCCGTCCCCGATAAGATGTCACCGAACCCAACCCAAAAGTTTCGGTTTTCAGTTTTCACTATTAGTTTCGGGTTTTTTTGCCATCCCTAATTTTGTACATGTTTAGTCCCTATAATTTTCTTTCTATGCTCCTTAGATGGAATCTATCAAGTGGAGGGTAATTTAGTCTCTTTCAATTTTCATTATCTTTTTAAAAATGAAAATTATATACATACAAATATATATATATATATATATATATTTAATATTTCAAGATTTTTTTGGTTTTGTTCATAATTCGAGAGAGACTTGGGGTTTACAGAAAGATGGAATTATCGTTTGGTTTCAAACCTTGGTTCGAACAGAAGGAGCACGTCATGCTAATGTTCTATTTGCTCGTAGCTCCCGTTTGATATCGGATAAAGCAAATCTTGGTTTGTTTTTCATTTGAATGATACGCAACAAGAAACCCCGAAACTTGATTCGAACCAACCGGAATTGAACCTAGATTTCATGATTTTATATTGAATCATCGTTGTTTTGGCCACAATGGAAGAGACGATGAAGGGAGGGTGTTTACTAAGAACGTGAGGGAGGCAGCAACCAAAAAGGGTAATTATATATCTGTTCTTGCTAGCATCTCGGTAATGATTTTGTTCGTTAGATGTCACAACACTAGAGGGTAGGCTGGTAGCATGTGACAAACGACGTTTTCTATTTTATTGTCTAAAACTGATTGACGTATATTTTTTTATAATTAAATATAAATATTTCTATAAATTATTTATAATAATGAAATCCAATTCCATTCCAAATCCTACAAACCAAACACACCAATGGTTTCAAATTCATTCCAATCCAAATCCCAATCCCAATCCTTTCATGAAATCCAAATCCCTCGAAAACAATCCTGCAAACCAAACGGACCCTTGTTTACCTTTGTAATTATAAAAGTATCTCTCTCAATATTCAACTATCGGAAAAGTATGTTTCTATTCTTTACTCTCCCCCCTCCATCTCTTTTCGTCTTCATATTCTCTTATCTCGCTTATGTGCTGATTGAAAATGAAAGAAACCGGATACGACAAAGAACAAAAGTACGATGAGTTTTCAGTTGATAAAGGAGCGTGACAACTTTGTCCAAATACACAACAGGTTTCAGGTTCGATCCCGACCCTTCTCTCCCGTTAGCATCAGCCGCTGAGTGAGCCAAAAATGCCCCCTCACATTGGTGTCCTTAGAGTCGGGTTCCACGTGGGGCCGGTAATCAACTTTTGTCCAAAAAATAAGATGATTATTATCATATCAAAATTACTTAAACATCACGTGAGTTTCTGTAGATATACGACTGTTTGTGTATGTTATACTCAATCAGAGGTCTGAGTAAAACACTGGACTTCCAAAGTTTTGTGGATGATTTACACATTTATTTTTAAATCTTTCAAATACTTATGATTTCCACTCATGGATTTTATTTTCCATTCATTATGTACCATGAGAGCATCGTCTTCGACACAAGTTTATGACAAGTCTCGAGTTCCTATTGAGCTCATTATCGAGTTGTTATTATTAAGTATTTATTGTTCATAATCGATTATCATGTTAGTTCGTGTGGTCATAACTTTTCACTCTTAACTTGAAATATTATGGCTTTTTTTCAAAGTTGCTTATTTTTTTTCGAGATCTATGTGGCAAAAGTTGTAAGATCCAACGAGTAATATCGATTAGTATCTTGTAAGCATAGTAATATCGATTAGTATCAAAATTAATTTATCAAGAAAGAGGAAATATGCCTTTGATGCTTAGGATGCCGCTTTGGTTTTACAAATCGATGACTATGTTGAAGACCAACTATAGACATCCAGGAGGACAAATATTTGTTACATCTTTAAAGAAAAGATTATTTACATCATAGATTCGAGTTTTATACAATCTGAATTTGAGTTTTTAAGTCTCTACGTGATCTTATGTTTATGAAAAAATCTGAGTTTTTTTGGAAGGAAGGAGGGCGTATTTTCTTTTGTTGCTTAAGTTACAGTGGTGGGATGGTGGTTACTGGTTAGTGGTGGGTTGGGTTGGGTTGGGTTGGGTTGGGGTAGGGTAGGGTAGGGTGTGGTGGGGTGAGTGGCAGTTGTGATAGCAACAATAATGGTGTGGTGGTGGGGGTTAGGTTAGGGGCGTGACAGTAATGGTAGTATCATGGTCGTAGTAGGGATGTGCAGTGAGTGACCATGGGGTGGTGTGATGACAACGGTAGTGACATGGTGGTTAGTGGTGGGTAGGGTGGCAATGGGTGGCGGCTACAGTAGTGGTGTGCTGGTGATGGGGGGTTAGTGGTGGGGCATGACGAACAATAGTAGCATGATCGTGATGGGTAGTGATGGAGTTCAATTCCTAACATTGTCCCAATTAATGATGAATTCATTAATTTGTGAAATTTGAAGGATTCCATCCATTTAAAAAAATGAACCAAATAAATGAATTAAAATTTAGTCAAGGGAATTTGCCATTCTAATTCCATCAAATTCCTTCGAATTTCACGAACCAAACAACCCCTTAGATTTTCAAATACTTAATGGTGCCTCAAATTAAAAGATATGCTCAATTTTACTAACATTTGAAAAATATATTTATGTTTTTGATAATAAAAATATTCTAAATTTGCTTACTATGGACCTTTTACCAAACTCTTACAAGGTGCCACAAACTTTACCGAGTGAGCATGCCGATGATCGGAACTCTTATCCGGTAACATAATAACAAGGATCGATAATCTAATGCCTCTTTGATGGCTGTGTCAGAGGGAGGGTGGCTGCCTCGATGGCGCCTCAATAAGCGTATAACAACATAACCGACAAACGTAGTTAAGACAGACATCTGAAATAACGACCAAAGACATCTTTATTACGGAACTCATGTTACTACAACATGTTGTGCACAAAAACAGAAGTACACTTATTCTACATGTCATCAACATATTAACAATAATGAGTATACATGTGATCTGTCCGTTCTCGTGTTCTTTTATTTGTTCACCGTTTGTTTTCACTTGATCCCGTCTCTCTATCTATATCAGTATATATTCGCAATCTTACATCAACTTTATACTTTACTAAAGATCATCGGAGCACCGTATTGGGGTCCAACCGTTAAAGACTGGAATGGGGAATGGACGTAAGACGGTGAGACCACAAAACGATATTTCCGAATGATCATAGCCACAACGATTTTGGCCTCCACGATGGCGAGGTTTTGGCCAACGCAAATTCGAGGACCTATACCAAATGGGAAGTAGGAGGCTAAGTGTTTTTTCGGCTCTATAAATCGCAAGGGGTTGAACTTGTTTGCATCTTCTCCCCAAATCTTAGGGTCATGATGAACAGCAGCCATGGCCAAGAAAAGCTCCGTGTTGGCCGGAATCTGGAGGCTACCAAGCTTCACATTCTTGCAGGCTTCTCTCACGGATATCGGCGCCGCAGGGTAGAGTCTCAGTGCTTCGTTTAGTATCATGCTAATCTGCGACAAATATTTGTAAAAAAAGCGCGAAAATGGGTCATTACAACAAAATGGACATTTTGGGATGTCCAAATAAAATAGTGTGCGTTATATATAATAACATTATGATAAGTTGTTAGAACGAAGTTAAATGACGTTATCGTTTCTTGACTTTTCTTGTTGTTCTTTAGGTTGTAAAGAATATAAACTAACCATCTTGAAGTTGGCTAGATGCTCGGCGGAAGGAAGCTCATCACGGCCACAAACTTGAACGACTTCTTCACGAGCTCGGTTCTGCCATTCTTGATGCGATGCAAGAAGAAGAAATACCCAAGTTAGAAGATTGGCCGTCGATTCTTTGCCTGCAAAATAGATCGTTTTGCATTCGTCTACGATATCATTCAGACCGAGTCTCTTTTCCACATTTCCCTTGGTCTTGTAGGGAGACATTAGCAACGAAAGTAGAGCTTTCGGGTTTTCTCTCGTTTTGTCGTTTTTCTCAATAATCTTCGTTATCATCTCTTTCGATTCGCGTTGAAGTTTCCAGCTTAACCTGTTTTTCTTGGTTGGCAGGTACCTGTGGTAAACCAAACCCAATCAAACTAGCACAATATACCCCACTTAGAAATGGGCTTGTGTTAAGATGTATGCAGACCGGTCTTCTACCACAACAGATATTCAAGATTTTGTATTCAGAAAAACATGTGACGATAATGGGTTTTGAAGACGTACTTGAATCCAGGGAAGTAAACACTTCGCATAGCCTCGGATGCAATCTTGATAAGCTGATCTTGAATCTCGAAGATGCGCTTTCCTTCCTCAAAATTGCTCCCGAAAGCGGTTCTTGATATAACGTCTGCCGAGAGATTGTTAAATTCCTTGTATACATCGAATTCAAGTCGGTTTTCGCCTCCGATTTTCACTTCTATTTCAGCTAGTAAGCTGTTAGTACTTGCCACAATTTCTGGGACCATATCCTGAGAACAACAATATGGCCAAAGCCCTCATTAGTATACCATATAATTATGTGTATATATACGTATGGAGACGAAAGATCGTGTGATAAGAAGAGTTAATGTTAGAAGCATAAGAAGTGATATGGACGCTTGATACGGGGATTGATCTGGTATATCTCGATGCATCTTATCATAATTTGTATCAAAAGGTTGAAATCTCTTCTTTGCTTCTCACCTTAACTTTTTTTTCTCAACAAAACCTAACTCTATATATGGGAATAATAGTTGTGGATCCGATTTAATGGGATGCAAGATTTAATTTAATAGTAAATCAAAATAATTACAAATGATTTACGATATTAGATTAAAAAAAAACTTAGTACTGTATCAAATCTAACGGGCCGTTTACCAAACATTTACCTGTGCAAACGCTTATCAAGTCACATTACCTTACCAGATGAATATGATAATAACCAAGAATCTTACCCGGTAAGAACGAGACAAGGATCATGAGTCTTGCCCCATAAGCGAGAACGACGACTCTTACCACGGTAAACGCTTACTGGGTAAATTGTTGCATACAATGTCGTTTTTGTAGACTAAAATCTTACCCGATAAGTAAATAATAGTGTTAAAGTATACCGGTAAGCACTTACCGGATAAGTGTTTGGTAAACGGACCCTAAATATTTCATAGATATTGTTAAAGGTTTTAGGAAACTTATTACCTTAACCCTCTCCATATTAAACGCCTGGCTTGTAATCTTTCTATGAACAGCCCACTGCTCCCCCTCCAAATACACAATTCCTTCGCCAAACAAAGCTTTAACCAAGGGGTTCACTCGAGCTTTTCGAAACCAGCCGTTCGTATTCAACAACACCTCCTTGATCATTTCCGGATCGGTGACGGCTAACCTGGGTCTCGTCCCAAACCAAAACAAAAACTGATCGCCATAAACCTTGGACCAAAAGTAGTAGTGTGGCATTACTTGTCGAACCACATGGTCATTGTTGAAAGATTCATCAGGTGGCGATTTGTGTTCAGCCATCATCATCAGCCGCCGGAGCTCATTGGAGTTGCCGGAAATGGCGTTGTAGGTTGGCCCTCCGACACCTTGTTGACGGAAATGGCGTTGGATCTCCGATGGGACCTTGATGAATTTGAAGTAAAGGCGGTAGCAAATGGTGGATATGGATAGAGAGAGGGCGGCTAAAAGTAGCAGACACATTTGATTGTGTGACAAAGAAAGGATTAGAAATGAAATTAAATATTGCATGCAATTTGCTTTGGGGTTGATTGGTTCCATAGTATATATAGAAGGGAGAAATAATAAAATATACATAATTTAATTTATTTTAATATATATTATAATTATATAAATTAATTAATTCTATATTATTAATTAATAATGTTTTAAAAATACGTATTTTTAAATTTTATATTTGTATATGATTTTTTATATACATTTTATACTTTTATAAATACTAGAAGAATACTCGCACAATGTTAAAATAAAAACATATTTTTTAAATCAAATTATTTTAACAGGTTCTCTACAATTTACGGGTACACATGTTAAAACGTATTTTCCTAACGTATTTTGTACTTAATGTCGATATTATTGTTCGTAATGTGACATGTTACTTGATGTATATGAGATAAAATTTAACGTGACATGTTAAAACGTATTTTAGTTAATATAAAATTATGTATTTTAATGTGATAATGATGTAAAACGAAAATTAAAAAAACAAATGACATATCATAAATTAAATAAATAACTATAAATATAAATATTAAAAATATTTTTATAGTATATAATATATAATAATATAATTAAGTCAAAAAATATTCAATATTGGGCTCATTTCGAAGGTATTGACGCGACGATTATAATGGCGTAACTTGTTAAAATTAAAACGTATTTTTTAAACATATTTTAATTGATATACGATTATGTATGTTAATTTAATCATGGTATAAAATAAAAAATTTAAAAGTGAAAAATATAAAGTAAATTAATTAATTAATTAATTATAGAGGTATAAAGTATAAATTTAAAATTTAAAATTAAAAAAAGTGAATGTGTGTGAGTGTGTGTGAGAAGAGCGGTGTGTGAGGAACGGATGGCGTGTGAGAGGAGGGACATATGCCGGGGATAGAAAGGAGTCAGAGGGGTATCAATATCAACCCCATATAGAAAGCCAGTGAAGACTTTTTCAAAGTCAAAGGTTTGAAAATATAAGCCAAATTTACATAAATACTTATTTTATAAAATATTTTTTAATTTTAATCTTTTTATACAGTTTTTTTTAAGCGGAAAATTTATTTTCTATGTAAAGTTTTTTTGCATAGTCTTTTTTTTATACGTAAACTCCTTTTCTAACTTTTTTTTTTCCTAAAAATGAACTTTATGTAGTAATTTTTTTTTGGAAAATCATCAAAATGACTAAAATATATCCGATATATTAACGAAATAACCAGTTTTCACCAAAATTACCAAAACATCTACACGGATCTCCCACGTGGGCGATCGTTAACCATGGGGGGCGATCCTCCCTAGTTTGACCGAAATAGTACGAAAAATATAATTAAAAAATCATTTTGGTGAGTCTCACATGCATCCCTTTAGGGTATAAGCCTCGATTTTTGTGGATCTACCCCCGGGGGTGATCCCCGTCACCCAATCACCCCTTGGGGGCGATCCCATTTATTTATTTATTTTCAATTTTTTTTTCAATTTTTAATAAATAGGAGACGATATTTAAATATATATTTTTTTACCTTTTTAGGACCAAATCGGCGTCAAATCATAGACACTAAAAGACGAAATAGAGATCAAACTACGTAAATCAGATATAATATCTGATTTTCCCCTCCAAAGTAAGATAAAAATAATTTTTTCGTGACCACAATTATCATGGTTTTATTTTTTAAACTAAAACCATGACATTTTGTCCTAAAAAGGTAAAAAAAAATTATAGTTTAAATATCGTTTCATGTTTATTTAAAATACCTCTTAATTGTCAAATCGGTGTCAAATCATAAACACTAAAAGACGAAATAGCGGTCAAACTACTTAAACCAGATATAATATCTGATTTGTGTCCCTCAAATCAGATAAAAATAATTTTTGTGTGTCCACAATTATCATTGTTTTATTTTATAAACTATAACCATGAAATTTGGTCCTACAAAGGTTAAAAAAAACAGTTTAAATATCGTCTCATTTTTATTAAAAATACCCTTAATCGATAGGAAAAAATTAAAAAATAAAAATAAAAATCGGATCACCCCGGGGTAGATCCACAGAAAATGAGGCTTGTACCCCAAAGGGATGATGTGGGACCCACCAAAATCATTTTTTATTATATTTTTCGTACTTTTTCGGTCAAACTAGGGGGGATCCCCCCCCCCCCCCCCGGTCAACAATCGCCCCCGGGGGAGATCCGTGTGGACGTTTTGGCAATTTTAGTGAAAACTGGTTATTTCGTTAATATATCGGGTATATTTTGGACATTTTGGTGATTTTCACAATCTTTTTTTGTGTAAAGTTTTTAGATTAAACTCCTTTTTTTAACTCATTGTTCTTTTTTTCATCTGAAAATAAATTTTACGCAAAAAAATCCTTCTTGCATAAAGTTTTTTTGTTTTGGTAAATTTTAGCTAGTTAAGGAAATGAGTTTCTAAGATGGCTAAAAAGTGAATCATTTTGTAAAATGGCTATTCCTATAAATTTCCCAAAATATAAGGATGTGTGTGTATATATATATATATATATATATATAGAGAGAGAGAGAGAGAGAGAGAGAGAGAGAACAAATTAAATACAAACCATGGTTAAAACCATACAAATCAATCTCAACCGTCTATCTAGTCTAATGAATATATGGTTTCATAAATATATCAATTGTTGTCTAATATAAAACGTTGATCATAATTAATGAGCTCGTTTTATATAAATACAAATCATAATAAATGAATATTTATCATTTTCATAGATATTTTAAGTGATTGGTTTGTATTTGATTTTATATATAGTGGATGCATTAAATGCAAACCAAGTCATTTGTACAAACTGTACAAACTGTCGATTTTATTGTTTAGTCATTTGACTTGAACACAACAAATTCACAAGTTCATGTAGGAAAACAACTTCCACAAAACTCAAGTTTAGCATATAGTCAAATGCAAAAACTATGAGACTTCACTCAAATCTTCCCCTTTCCTTTACCTGTAGGATGTACCTGTCCTGAAATGCACATGTTTAAAAAACAAAATGAGGGTTAGACCATAAGGTCCAATGAGTAATTCTCTGGTAGCTTTGCGTGGTGAAAATCACCAAAAGAATTTTGGCAAGTAAAACTTTAAAAGTCAATATAAGAACAATAGTTGTCGCACACCATATTGTGTGACTATTACATGTTTATTGCACCATGCATCAATTTGTCGGACACCATATTATGTGACTATTACATGTTTATCGCACCATGCATCAATTTGTTGCACCACAAGGATGCAACAACCATGCTTATCACATCGAGCTAAGGCTACAACCCAACTCATCGCATCAAGCAAATGCGATAAAACAATTTGTCGCACCACACTGATGCGATAACAACTCCTCATCGCATCAAAGGGATGTGATAACCTCAATTTGCTGCATCAAGCAGATGCGACAATCCATCTTTATCTCATCAAGTACAAGTGATCAATTTAAACAAAATCATTGAGTATGCCACCCTTATTCTATAATCCATATACACCTCTCTTGATTATGTCACCCTTATCCTATTATACACCATCTCCTGATTATTATCTCATTATACACCTCTCATGTCGATTATGTCACCCTTATCCGTTTTACACCTCTCTTATCGATTTTATAATAAATCAATATCATCCCCACAATTGATAATATGATCTCAATTCAAGTATGTTAACAATAACAATTAACATACCAAAAACCACATAAAACCATCACCCAACTTACTTCTTAACAAAACATTTCAGACTTTTAAATAAAAACTCACATTGATCACAACTGAACAATGAATTTCTTACTGACAACAAATTCAGTATTAAACACGTAAGAGTCGTCGCACTCACTTACCGGGCCTCGTTCTTACTGGGTAAGATTATTGGTTCTTACCATATTCATCCGGTAAGGTAATAAGACTTGGCAAACGCTTACCAAGATAAGTGTTTGGTAAACGGCCCCTAAGTCTTGGTTAGATAAAAATCAGATCCAAATATTTTAGATAAATATGCAATAAAATCATTCAGAATTCAAAAAGATGTTCAACTTGAAACAGCAGATTGTTTCAATTTTTTTTGGTTTGTCAAAATAGAAAAAAAAAATTCAATTTTCTTTTAGCCCCCTTTAATCCCAAGTTTTTTTTGGGTGAACCTATGTAAATTTGTTTACATCCCTATCTCTTTATTTCTGTTTGCTTGTTTGGTTGTATTAACGTTTTAACAAAAGAATCCAATATGTTGTAACCACAAGGGTGGTACCTGATTGGTTTGAGCTTAGCTCTAAAGGTCAAAAGTACCAGCAGGTCCCAGGTTCAAATCGAAGAAGGAATAAAAACCCCCTTGTGACCACGAAGATTTAAATGCGGTGACTCCAGACTATCTGCAAAGCAGATGGTTGCCCTGGAATTAGTCGGCTCGCATAACGGGTTGGATATCCAGGTTAATTATAAAAAAAAATTCAATTGGTATCACTATATACAGTATTTGGCCATCTATGAATTCTGCTGCATCTGAAAGGAACATCTCCCCCATGATAAGATAACCCAGTCTTGATTAGATCACACAGTCTAATTGGTATCACTATATACAGTATTTATGATATCTCTTGCTCAAGAAAACAAATACCTCAAAACTAATTTATTTATTTATTTATTTTTGCAAAAAATCATTTGTATATATTATGAAGATTGGGATAACCAATCACAAGGGTTGTGGCTTATTGGTTGAGGTCACAGAAGATGTGATGAAATATCTCATCTGCCAAGAATTTGATTCCAGATGTACATAAACAATTGTGACCAATGAGTTTATCAAGACTAATTTCTTGCAATCATAATTTGTCAAGATTAATCCATGTATAGTCTAGAACATCATTCCAAAAAAATAAATAAGAATAACATCTCCATGAGATCAGGTCATGATCTTTGAAATATATGTCAATATTGGTTTCTAATGAGATAATAAAAGTAT